TGAAACTCCCAAAGAGAGGGATCAAGTGACTTTTTAGGGGGGCGTGATGTCTAGATTTGTTTTATTCTGCAGTTTCTTACTCTAAGGAGAACATCAGAGTGGGATTTAAATTTTTCTTTTTACCTGAGTGATCTTAGACCCTTATAACTCAAAATAGAAAATTTAGAGAAAGTGCAGAACATGGTACAGATGATCCTGGCAGTACACAGGGTCACATAGTTCCTGTTAATGGTGAGTTTCACTCTGTGCATTCTGTGTCTTTGATATTTGCAGCCATCTCCTTAATAGCTCTGAAGTCATTTGTGGGGTAAGGTTTTATCCTTGTTGTCTTCCCTCAAGTGACTTCTTTGTCACCAACAACAAATGAGGGGACAAAGGTGAGGCGACAATGTGAAATCTCATGCTTGCAGTTCTTCAGGAGAGCCTGATAAACACAGTACACAACCTAGAGGCAGCTTAAAAGCACGTTAGGCAGTTCACACTGTTTTCCAGGAAGTGTGACCTTGTCCATGTAATTAATCCACTGTCTCACTGGTTTAACAATACAAGTTTGTATGTGTAATGTATGCACGTATGCGTGAGGTAGCAGGCAGCATTTTGTGGGGGCAAGCAGTGCCTCAAATATGGTGTGTGCTCAAAACCCAAGTCCCCGAGGACTATGCATGGTGGTGCCTGTGCGTATGTTAGTTTTACTGGGAAGAATCTCCCAAGTTCTAAAGAAAGGGAGAAAACCCATTTTTATCCCCTGCTCCTTTCAATTCATGATGTTAGAAGTCAGAGGGATATGGAATCTAAATCGTGGACTGCCCAGCTTCCTCCGTGTGCGCCAGACATAGAACAGGGATGCTGGCACCTACAAACTACAGGAGGCCTGCAGAAGCGGGAAGTGGAAGAAAGCCAGGCACTGACCTGCTCCTGCAGGAGCTCAGGGCGGCTGGGGACAAAGCCTGAGCCCCTCTTGCAGCTGGGGCAGGCGCCGTCGCCACCGGGAGCTGAAGGCTGCAGTCAGGGCTAGTCCCGGAGGTGATGGGAAGCCTTGTGGCATCCACCCCCGTCCCACAGATGAAATTGTCATCAGTGCCCTCAGTCGCTTGAGAAAAAAACAAGACTCTGAAGGGAATTTTCTAGCACTCAATCTGCCTTTGCACATTTGGTGACTGTGCTTATAAAATTTAAACTTTGTACCTGACAGGCCAATTTTCAGATGCTTTTAAGCATTTGCTTTTTCATTTTTGAGTGCCTTTTTCCTCCCATTTGGCAAATTATTTTAGAATTTTAAGGACGATATTAGTCAAATAATACAGAAAGGTCCCCAGGCAAATGGGCTAAAAAAGCTCTGAAAATGCTCAAAAGAGCTTGAAGACCAAAAGATGCCTAAGATATGAAAATGCTTAAGAACCATAACTATGATACTATAAATGAAATGTTAGCAGTGCAGTCGGCTTGTTCTCCAAAACAGGAATTTTAGACAAATCGGTTTCTGCTTGGATTGATTGGCTGAATTGGAACACACTGCCCAGAGCTGTTGAAGCTTTCACTAGAGCCTTCCATCATGAAAACATCCTGTGACCTTTGCTAAACTCACTGCCTCCTTCATTGTCTTACTGTTTTCATTCATTAATTTAATCATTAACAAACCCACTATATCAAGGACCTGCTGTGTATCAGGCACTGTGCTAAGAAACAACAAAAAGATTCAGTTAAGGAAACAAGGAATACAGTGTGATACCGACAGCCATGGGAACACACTCAGTCTTCTTCAGGGAGCAGTGGTCTGGGAAGGCTTCCTGGAGGTGGTGATGCCCCAGAAGCTTGCTGAAGGATGATGGAGGGGTCTTTAGGTGAAGAGTCAGGGAGCTGATGTTCCAGGTAAAGAGACATCCCCCAAGTGCCAGTTGTGGAGCAGCAAATAGTTTAGGGTGGCTGGAATGCGGAACTGATGGTGAAGGGGGTGTGGCGAGGGGGCAGGGTGTGGAGTGCTGAGCAGCCCTCACATTCTAAAGTCCTGGAATGCTCTGTAGGAGAGCTGGGTTTACCAAAGGGCAGAAAGGAGGGGGTCAGGATTTTTTAAGCCCATGAGCAATGCAATCAGATCTACGCTTGGGGAAGATGGCTCTGACAGCTCTACTCCCCTGCATCTGCCCAGTAATTGCTGTGATCTGAATAGAGAGAATGCAGCAGAGGTTGAAAATAATGAGGATAGTGACGATACTGAAGACATCTAGAGCCCATTTTAAGCCTGTCACTGTGCTCAGTATTTTATATCTGTGTTCACATTTGATCCTCAAAATTATCATGTGAGGTGGATATCATTCCCACTTTACAGACAAGGAAATTGAGGCTCAGAGTGATCAAGCAGCTTCTCCAGGGTCATCCATCTGGCAAGTGGCAGAGCTGGGGTCCAACTCAAACTGGATATTCCTATGCCTGTGCTCTTCATCGCTATACTATCCGGAAGGAGTCCATGGTCTCAGCTTGCTCCCCTCCTCAAAGACCCCCTCGGTTACTTCACATGCTGCCTTTGTTTTCCAGCTGTTTCTTTTTGGCCCTCTGCAGAGCATGCCCATATACCCTCTGGTTCAGCCCTCGTGTCTAAATACCTGCTTGTTTAGATGTGAGGGGCCTGGTGTTTAGTTCCAGCTCAGTGAAGGCAACCAAACTCATAGCCTCTGTCAGCTGTGGCCGGAAGCCTACCCAGCATGCAACCTGAGAGGGCTGGAGTCTTTGGGCCCAGTTATCACTGTTCTAGAAGTTTCAACATCAACTGCCTTTTGCCTTTTGTCCTCAAGTCTTCAATCCTGCCAACAAGACTTAAGCATCCTGGGAGACTCACCCTAGCCTTTACCCTTGCCCTCACCTCAGCCAGAGAAGAATTAGAATTAGAGTCAGGATTAGAATTAGCCCTAGAACTAAGGACCACAGGAGCTGGCAGTGGTAAGGGGACTGGCAAGTCACAAGGGCAGGTGAAGGGCCTTTAGCACAATAGCTGCACTGACCTCTACTACCACAGGGTATGCAAAGGACTTTTGTCCTTTTGTATGCTTTTTTAAAACATCTGAATAAGGGTTTCTTAACTTGCAGTCTGTGAATCCTAGTTGTCCACAAACCCAAGTTAAAAATCTATTCAAAATCTCATGTGTATGAACAGACTCACATTTTTCTCGAGAGTTCTTAGCTTTCATACGATTCAAAAGAAGGCTTATGACCCAATCATGAAACCACAATAAAATAGCAGTTCACAATAGCTGAGCACCTCCTGTGCTCTAGGCACTTGACCTTATGTAATCCTTGCCCCAAGCTTGGAGCTACTGTTTTTGTTCAGGCACAGAGGGAGGCTCCACGTGAATGACCAGGCGTGTGGCCAATTGGTGTTGTTGGGCTCTACTGAGGTCCAGTTCGGGCGCTCGCCTGGGAGCCGCCTGTCTTGAGTGAGTAGAGAACCTCTACAGAGTCACATATTCAGCGGTGTCTACACCGAGCGTTCAGATAAGGGAATGCTAATATTCACTCCCTGTGCTCAAACTCCCATCACATGGCTTTTCAAAGAAAACTGGGGGCAAATTTCTGTGTATTTTTTTCAGCCAAATGTATGCCTTCACTAACATTAACCATATATTTTTAAATTTGCTTTTGAGAAAAAGTAAAATAACTGCTTTAAAAACCTAATTCTTGTTTTAAACAGAAAACCTTAATAACCCTCATTTCTTTAACAACTTTGGCCCCATTTGCTTTTCCTCCATGTTGGAGTAAGGCTGTTTTTGATCAGCCGGCCGGGAAATGAGAGTTGATTAATTCACAGGTTTGGTTATACCTGAGGCAATTTCTGTGGGCCGGATAGTGAAGTGTGCAGGGCCAACACCCACACTCCCAAGGGGCACAGCCAGGTGAAATGCGGTCCTCATACTGGCCTTGCAGGCCCCTTCCCTCAAGTGCTGGGCTCTGGAATTCTGCCTGTAGTACCCCCTTCCTCATTTCTCATACTCACCTCCTTACCTAGCTTGGCACTTGGCACTTGGAAGCTAGGGCCTGCCTGCCTAGATTACAATCCTGACTCAACTACTTCCTGTGTGTCCTTGGACAAGTTACTTACCCTTTCTGCACTTTATTTTCCTCATTTGCAAATTAGAAATAATATATGTACCTATTTCATAAGGCTGTTATGAAGATTAATTGGACATTAAATGAGATCATCCTCGGTGACTGGCACATGAGAGGACAAATAAATGTTAGCTGATATCATCATTATCATCATTATGGCTGAATTGTGTCTCCCTCCCAAAAAATGTTGAAGTCCAAACCCCTGTATCTATGAAATAGGTCTTTACAGGTGATCAAATTAAGATGAGGTCATTAGGATGAGATCTAATCCGATATGACTGTGTCTTTACAAGAAGGGAAATTTGAACACAGAGACAGACACACATAGAGGAAAGACAGTGTGAAGACACATGGAAGTTAAGAGGGAAGCACGGAACAGATTCTCCCTCTCAACCCGTACGAGTCAGCATCTGGATCTTGCTTAGACTTCTGCTCTCCAGAACTATGAGACCATAAACTTCTGTTCTTTAAGCCACCCAGTTTTTTTTTTTAACTAGGAAATTAATTCATCTTCATTATCACCTGCAACAATATCCACCTCTTGGGTGTGCCTTTGCATGCTCCCTAAAGGAGCAAAGGCTCCCTAAAAGGAGGGAGAAAACTCTATAGTGAGGTCAAATTACTGAATCACAAAGAGACAGCCTGATGACATTCAATTCAGCAGCAAGGTGGTGGCTGGGCTCGGCCAGGCTCAGTGCCCATTGGTTAAAGGTTCAGTAGACACAGCCCTGCTGTTCCACAGGCATCCCTCCCAGACTACGCATCTCTCCTTCCACCCAGGACACTGGCATCCAGTGACATCCAAGCCACTGCTTTCTGCCTTTTTCTCCACAGTACCCCACACCATGCCTTCCCTCAAAGAAATTTGTTGTTGCATTCATTTCGCCCCCTCCTGTTGTTAGGTAATCGTGCTGTCCACGCGACTCCTGAACCCACTTAACATTCCTGAGCTGTTATTTGCAACTGATCGGCTACATCCAGACCTTGGCTTCTGAACAGATATCTGCTAAGATGAGACCTACCTGAGCTGGAAATACCAATACTATCGTCTGTCACCATTCCAGTTTGCCTCCAAAACCAGTGTTCCTGTTCCTAAGCGTGGGTATGACTGAGTTCTGCCTCCAGGGTCTTGACAACAATGCCACTTAGTATTGTGCTTAGATTGCTGGGATTCTTAAAAAGGTTTTTTTTTTTCATGTTTGTAAATGTGTAGAACTGTCTTTCAGCTGGCTTAATTCACGATAATTCCCATTTACTCTTCTCTCTTTATTGGAGATCCTGATTCCACCTGAAGGCTCGTTAGGTCTAAGTAAGTGCCTGTTGGCGAGCTTTGTTAGATTACAAGCGTTTAATCTGCAGTTGCTCCAGAAGTTAGATATTGTTTAGAATTATGAGTGTGAGGAAAGTTTGGTTTTATTTTTTAAGATTATAAACTGAGGAGGGAACATGGCAAATAGGATTTGAGACATTTCTGAAAAGGCTAGAAAGGGAGGGTGGCCACTTGGGCAGCACTGTTAGTCTGCCCACCATGTGACTTGGCCTGGTAACAAGGGCTGCATTGTTCCAGCCTCTTCCAGGCAGAGCCACCAGCCTGCTTGGAACAGCAGTGGGAGAGAGGCTGATTGGAGGGCTTCTCTGCCATAGAAGGTTTCCTCCCCTCCCAGAGGAAGGCCCCAGTAAAGATATCTGATCTGTGGGAGACTAGATTGAAGCCCCAACCCCTGTGACATTTGTAATTTAGCATTTCTGTTGAAATATAAAGCTTTCTTTTTTGTAAATCTAACTTTTCCTTCTGGACATAGAAGAAAAACGTAGGCCCACCTAATGAAATTATATAAGAACTCTGGCAAAAATAAGGTGCTTGAAACCCACACATTTGTAGATGTATGGTTGATAGAAATTTCTAGCATCTCTAAGAGATATTTTAATAGAGATAAAGCTGGAAAAGTTTCTAGTGTGGGATAAACAAGTAGAGGAAATAAAGTGTAAGCCAAAACACTAGTGTGTCTCTGATTTTAGTTCTCTATAAAACACCATCACTTTTAATTAAAAAACACTCAAGTTGGAAATAATTCTGAGACATTAAGCAGAAGCTCTTTTTTGGTCCAAGTATGTTTTCCACCTAACACCAGTTCTTCCATGGTGGTGAAACATTGAAGATCTCAGATGCTTCTTTCATTCCACTAATTTAGAAGTTTGAGTGTGCATAAGGAAGAAATGATAATAGCCACACACACAAAAAGAGGATAATTAAAGCAGAGATCTCTATTTTCTAAAATAAAAAATAATCTGTTATGTGACTCAAATCTGCATTCATTCATTCATTCATTCATTCATTCCCAAATCCTGAGTGGCACATTGCAGGCACTCTGCTAGGTTGTAGACTATGGCAGTGAATGAGCCAGAGGCAAGCCTGACTCTGTGACTCTCACAGAATGAGCAGCTGGTGCTTCTCCAGATGGCCCTGTGTATCTGCTCAAGGTTAAGTTTTAAACCATATGTCTACATGCACAGGAAACTTTCTGGAAATACAGAAACCAAACCGCTACCAAGTGGCTACCCCTGGGAAAGAGTATAGAGTGGGAGGACTAAGAAAAGAGGGAATCTTGCCCTTGATATACTTCTGTGTAGTTTGAATTTTTCTTTACAGCCAACATGTATTTATAACTTTTGTGGCTTCATTGTACTTTTACAAGTAATTTTTTCTTTTAGAAAAGAATATTCAAAAGCATCCAACCTGAAGTGATTAAAGATGGAAGTTCCTGATTGTAAATCTTAACATTAAGTAGTTAGTATGCCCCCAAATGCTCTCAATACTATATTAAATATGGCCAAAGGCAGTCTGTGAGCAGTGAGGGGAAATATGTCAAAAAGTTTGGTCTATATAATAATCTTTTTCTATGTCCACAGTCGCTGATTGGAGGAGCTGAGCTAGGCAGGGAGTCAGGTAGCAGGAGGCTTTGGGGAAGAAGTGAGCAGGAAGAAATTCATGATGACCAGAGTCGGGTTTGGATAATAAAGAAGGAGATACAGGCCCTTTCTCCATCACCAATTTATGTGAGCCACAAGTAGTTGTGTGGATTCCAAGGCTGACACCCTGACTTACCAATTTAACTGCATCTACATGTACCAGTTCTTAAGGGATTTTCCCCCTCCCAGATGTCAGCCATCTGAAGGCTGCTTACAAGGCTGGGCTGTGTGGTAGAGCTGGTTTCTCCTCTCTCAGGCTGGGTCTGAGTGTTTACCACCGACAGTCTGGCTGGCCAGAGCCAAAACAAGCACATACAGGTGCAAACCTTCTGCCAAGGACCTCACAGGCCACTCTTTATAAACACAACTGATAGGGGGGTAAATACTCTGTAGCAATTGACTTCTGCCTTTGTAAACCCTCTTTCTGACTCCGGCAAACATAGCGGGCACAGCAAAGTATTTCGAAGTGGCTGGGAGCTGCACTGGCCCAGGGTTATCCCCAGAGGGCCAGGCCTATGGAAATGGCCCTGTTTACACCAGGGGCCCCCTCCACTACAATATTATCCCAATCACAAAGAATGCCATCAAACTTCCCCAAAGGCTACTGTTATTTATTTTACCCTGGTTACCAGAAACAGAATCTCAACAACAAATAACCAGTATTACAAACGTCTGCCATCCCTGCCCAAGAAACATTAAGAAACTCCATTCCCTACTTTTAAAGGAATTTAAAAAGACAACACCAGATGATGGAGGGTATTTGAGGAGGGGGCCTGGGGGATGGTGGCTGGGATCCTGCCACAAATCAGCAATAACCCTAATCCTGTTCTCCTCACACTGTTAGGAGAGTCATGAGGACAATGAGAATTTTCTGGAAACTTCTCTCTTTAGACTCTAAAGGGAGTGCAGAAAACACCAGTTTTTTCCTGGGTTATTTATTACAATAAAGAAAGCCCTATAGTTCCTGCTGGGCCATTACCCTCGTGCCCCGTCCTGAGTGACCAGCAGAGCCTCCGCAGGGCCGTCCCCATCTCCCGGCCTGTGCAGAACCAGGAGGTACCCCACTGCTCATTTGGGAGAGATTTGCACAAGCCTGTTCATTCACCCCGAAAACACCGTTTGTTTGCACCCTCCTGGGGTGTAAAACGAAAGTCCAAACTCCACCTTGCACCCTGGCGAGAACCCCCGCCCCGAGGCAGCGCTGGCTGGCTGCGGGGCGCCCCGCGTGGTTTTGATTTGCTGCGGAGAGGAAACTAACTGGCCGGCCCGCCGGCACTACGGCCGCGGCCGCGAAGCCGCTCCAGGGGCGGCCAGGCTCTGGGCCCCGCCCTGCCCGGCGTCCCAGCGGACCAGGGAGGAGCCACGAGCCCACAGGAGCAAAGGGGCATTGAGGGAAGGAGGACAGGGAACAGGGCCAGGGGAGGGAAGGCAGCATCTGCAGGACAGGGAGGAGAGCCTGAGCGGGCTTTGCCTCGCGGAGTCAGGCAGCAGACAGACCTGGGTGGGGTCCTGGCTCTGCCATTTAGGGGCTGGACCAGCTGACAGTTCCTCTGCGCCTACCTTCCCTGTATCTGTACTAAAGGGACTGAAGATGAATGCTGGGCTTGGTGTAGATCATGGACATTGTGTCAGATACCCTGCACAGTGCCTGACGCACAGGTTTTCAATAAAGATAAACAATAATTGTTACTACCTGTATGACTCCATTCAGGTAATTAATTCTCTAAGCCTCAGTTTTCTCATCTTTAAAATGGAATTGATATTCTTATCTTCTGCACAGGGTTCTTCCAAAAATGAAAGGAGCTCTTTTATAATCTGGCACAATGTAAATGCTCAGCAAATTCTAATTCCTTTTCTTTCTCCACTCCCCTGCCCACCCCCACCCCTCCTGTGGATAAAATGAGAGTTTCTGTGGCTAGGATTCTCACCTGGCTGTGGTTGACTAGCTCACTGCACACCCTTGGGCAATACATGGCTGTTGACTCTATATAAAGAGCTCCTCCCCCCAGTGCTCTGGGCACGACACGGTGGCAGGGCTGCAAGGCTGCAGGAGAGCAGAGCAGAGGCTGGGTGGTGGCAGCGCCAAGGACAAAGGCCCAGAGGACGGCTGTGCAGGACGACTATGCAAAGAGGCCCAGAGGACAGCTGTGCAGGATGACTGTGCAGAGAGGCCCAAAGGATGGCTGTGCGGCACGACTGTGCAGAGAGGCCCAGAGGATGGCTGTGCAGGATGACTGTGCAGAGAGGCCCAAAGGATGGCTGTGCGGCACGACTGTGCAGAGAGGCCCAGAGGATGGCTGTGCAGGATGACTGTGCAGAGAGGCCCAAAGGATGGCTGTGCGGGACGACTGTGCAGAGAGGCCCAGAGGATGGCTGTGCAGGATGACTGTGCAGAGAGGCCTGGAAGATGGTTGTGCGGGACGGCTGTGCGGACAGAGGGGCCCAGAGGATGGCTGTGAGGACAGAGAGGCCCAGAGGCAGAGACCGGCTTGCTGCATGCAGACTCACTCTGAGTGAACAGGATTTTAGTGACTGATCTGCCACCTGGAAATAAAGTTGAGTATAACCCTTTCACCCCAAGAACGTTTTGCTGTCATTTTCTTTGGTCACATTGAATCCATAGCAAACTTGCCTGGGGCTGAAACCCACTGGCAAGACACTTCCACTCCCCATCCCCCCAAGTGGCAATGGAGGTGTTCCCCATCTAGATGGGAGAGGGCTGTATCTCAGTACCAAATGGTTGCAGTTCAGAATTTGAAAAACAAAGAGGTATTAAGAAATACTAATAATGGAGGAGATGAGCAAAGGTAAGGAAATATAAAGCTAAATTCATGAGAAGTAAACACAGTGTGGTCTAGAACTATAAATACTCAAGTCAGCCTGAGACAGCGGATGGAACTGGGGCTTGGGTAGTTTCCAGCTAGGACTCTCTCTTTTCCAGAGTGGGCTCAGACCACCCACTTGATCCCCCTGGATGGACTGGAGCTCTGAGACTCCGTCCAGCCTGAGCTTGTAAGGTGAAGTAGGACAGACTCAGTCCAGCATAGTGGAGAAGTGAGGAGTAACTGTGAAGTGCCAGGAGATCGGGAAGTGCAGCTGGCAGAGAGGAGGAGAAGCCTACAAGAGGCCTGCAGACCTGTTGTGGATGAAGTGAAGGTTCCTGTGGCCAGGAATCTCACCTGTCCCTGGTTGGCTAGCTTACCACACATATGTTGGCAATACCTTCTTATTGACTCTAAAGAGCTCCAGTCAGTGCTCTGGGTGACACAATGGCACAGCTGCAAAGCTTCAGGATAGCAGAGCAGAGGCTGGAGTGGTGGCAGCACCGAGGACAGAGACTAAGATGGCTATGGAGGCAGAGAGGCCCAGAGGCAGAGACCGGCTTGCTGCATGCAGACTCACTCTGAGTGGATGGGATTCTAGTGATTGACCTGCCACCATGGTAATAAAGTTGGGTATAACCCTGTCACCCCAAGAACATTCTATTTTCATTTCTTTAGTTACATTGGATCCATAGTGAACTTGCCCAGGGCTGAAACCCATTGGCAAGACAGCTATGCAACAGACAGAAGGAGAGGGAGAGGAAATAGTGTGACAGCAACAAATGTCAGCATGGTACTGCTGAACACCTTTGCAAGATAAAGCCCCTAAGAGAACTTTTAATTCCAGAACATGGGTAGAAGACCATTGTTAAGTATATAAAGATTAACCTCCCACTCACTGGATATTAGTAATACAACCACAGAATGAACAGAAATAAAAGTGAGCAGAATCCAGTTGGAGATACTTATCATGCCTTGGAACTGAGATGTTTTTAGAATCTCACGTTAGTAAAGTTTCCCTCCTTTCCCCCAACACACCCTCTTCTCAAAGGTTAGATTAGTCTTGAGTGTAGAAAATTGTCCTTCATGTAAGGAAGGTTTGGGACATCTCCAGAAGCCCTGTCAAGAGCAGGCAGGGATTTTACCCTGTGGAAAAACAGATTTGAAAGTCTGGCACCATACCTCAGTAGGCCTCCAACAGCTATTCATTTGGACTGCTCTCTTTAGTCTCAGGCCCGCAACCCAAAAAGAACCATTCATATCTTCTATATGAAATATAAAGATCAAATATAGTCAGAAGACATTGATTCAATCATTTGTGTGACCTTGACATCACTCAAACTCAGAGCCTGTTTTCCTCACATGTAAAATGTTAGTATTGCCACCCCCTTCTCACAGGATTATCCCAAGGATTAAATAAGATCAGGTGTGTGAAGCATTACTCAAATATAAGGTATGGCTATTTGCCTGTGAAAACAGTGACTCACTTCACTTGCATGAAAGGTCGCCCAGGCCCACATAGAAGTAGATGAGACACCTGGCAGTTTAAACACATTTGTGGCAGGAGCTATATGGGAAGGGTTCCTAACAGCCCCAGATCAACAGCTATGAGCTTCTAGAAGGTTAAAGTGTACTTTTTGAAAGCAGCATTCCCAAAGAAGAGGCTTGCCAAATAAAGCACGTACAAGAGGAGCAGTACTCACCTTCACGGCTTAGTTAAGGAGATCTCTTAACAGCATAAAACATAGAGCCAGGTATTTGTCTTAGGGATACCTGGAGGATCATGAAGGAAATGAATGGGAGATATGCTACTTTGAATATGAAGCCACAAATTACAATTTACAATGCTCAAGTTTGACAAGTTATTTAACTTGTGTGTAAGCCTGTTTGCTCATCTATAAAATGGGATAACAGAACATACCTCCCTGTTTTGTTGTGAGACTAAAGATATAACCATAGGAAGGTATCGTGCCTGACTCAATGTGCTCAATAAATACAAGACCAGTGTATTTAACTTAATTTAATAATACTTTGAAGGATAGAAGGTGAACACTGCAATAAAGACTAAGTCAGATGTCTGCTCTTTAAAAATGAGATTTATTGTACATAAAATAAATTAATTACAGTTTAAGCCAAAGCATGAGTGGCTTTTTAAAGTGCATCTGTGAAGGGGATTTGGCAGTGGCCCCTGCATCTATTCACTCACTGTGAGATGGTATTTTTGTATTTAAGCCAGAACTCGGCCAGGCTTCAGGAACCAGCCCAACATCATTGCTGTGAGCCATTTACACAAATCACACACCAAAATCAATGGACATCTTTTTTTCTTCTGTACCTTGATGCAACAGTTTTAAAAAAAATTACACAGTTTCACAATTACTCAAAGTCTGGGGCTGAAGAGTTTGAATTCTCAACCACTCAACACATGCCCAGCTAGGCACCGTTATCCTGTGTCAGGAGGAAGCAGCACCTTCCTGCAGGCCACAGAAGCATACAGATGTTGCTCTACATAACATCTGGCCAATGAATCCCACCCTTTTTAGGGGGGTCAGAGTAGTATTTCCTTCCTTGTTCTTTTAAAGAGAAATCTAGGTATCCTTCAGGTTAGAAAGGCATTCTATAAGGAAGAGTGTTCCAGAGACATAAATCATACTGGTAAAAGAAAAGCAAGTAGTCTACTTGGGAAGAAAAAAAAGGAAAGAAAAAATAAACGGGAAAGCCCATGAGTGCTTAATCTGTTCTTTCATTCCCACTGTAAATCACACCAATATATTCGGTGAAACTACAACTGGACATCATTTACAAGGTGGTTAAGGACAAAATCCAAAGCGATGATGCCCCTCCCCACCAAAAGAAAAGATGGGGAGTACATTTCACATATTCAGAGTAGCTCAGCAGATTCATTCAAGCCTCATCAATTCTGTCTGCCTGCTCAGAATGCTTGCTTTTCTGCTGCAGTAACACAGGCCCTCCTGGCCTCTCTGCTCCAGCCCTTTCTGGAACCATGACTTACTGCCAGCATTCAACGTTCCTGCACTAGAAGAGCCTCCGGCCCTCTCCTGGGAAGACCCAACCCCCTGGAGTGCCTCTGCTTCAGACGGAGGTGACAGTCCTCACTTTGGCAGAGAGGGCTTGCTTGAACCTCCTTTTCAGGTCCTGCATGTTGGGTGACTTGGGCCTGGGGATGAGGGAGGTTCTCCGCTTCTCTGGCGTGCTGCTGGGCTGCTGCTTATGACTCACTTCTTTGCACAGGATATGGAAAGCGTTGTAGACGTCGTTGTAATTTTCACTGACGGACACTTCATAGAATGAACAGCCCAGCA